CGCAATGCACTGATTTTCGTCGATGCTAGACAACGGAAATATCTGCAATGCAGTTAGAGTAAATATACTGGATTAGATCGAAACCAGTGCAGACTCAACAAAAAAATATACGAAAAAATTTTCGAATACTGAAACGATGGAACAATCATGATAAATACAGAATGATGCGATAATTTCTATGAATATTTCCGTATACTAATGGTAAGCATAGCTACTAAAAGCAAATGCGGTTCGATAGCCCAAATTTGCACGTGCATTTCACCTTTTAATAGGGAAACGATCCGGCAAGTATGTTAGTTTATCTTATTTTACTACTTCCTTATTCCCCTTTCCCTCCTCTTCCCATGTTTTTTTTTTCGACTGTTCCTTTTTTGATTCACCATAACATACAGCCAGTATTTACCACTATATGAATTGACTGTGACAGTATACTGACGAGACTTCGTCACAATTCCGTATATACTCCGAAGCCGAAAAAGCCGAAATGGGAACGTCGAGAGCACAGCAATTCCTCATTTTTCAATTCCATGCTATATCAGCTTTTTGTTTTTTTCCTCATTATTCGCCAGTACTGTCATCACTTTCATTTTTTATCGATTATCCACTTTAGAAGAATAAATCAAAAATAACCTCCTGAAGGAAGTCATCTGCGCCTCTTGTTTCTCCCAGCGGTCAGCATCAGCAACCGTTGATGGTTTGTTCTCATCGACCTGCTTCGCCTCCTTCACCTCGCTCTCTTCCTCTTCATTATCTGGCAACCCTGGTGAGATATATTCTAAACACAGGGAAACCACCTCGTTTGGAGCGCATAATTCTGATGCAAGTTGAACAAGCTTCTGAAAATGCAAAAACCATTCGAGAAATACAAAAAATTTGCGCATCCTTAATCCTCGTACCTGTTTTCTTCAGATTAAGTCAGAAAGGAGAGCCTATGAGCAACACTTGAAAAAAATTCGCAACCCTGATTCCAGTTATTCACAAACAATAATTGATTTTTTGCACTTTCTTTAAAAAAAATTAATTTTTCTGGCTCCGCTGACATTTTTGATTTTAATTCTTATCATATACAATTGCGTTCTCGCTATGACCATAGTGGCAAAATTCGCTGGGCAATTTAGGAGAAAAATTTGGAAAAAAAGGTTAAACCAAAATATGGGAGCCGCATGTTGCAATCTGAACTGACGCAAAAAGGACCTTATCAAGAATGAGAGCCTTTTCATCCGACGGAACAGCCCGTTTTTTGAGATATTCACCGCGCTGCTTTAATTCCTGCCAAAAGACATCCGGGGCTGATTTGTACACTAGATTCTGGATCGTATTATCACGTGCAAAAGCTTCTGAAAGATCCCTCGCAATTGGGCGGTCGCATTTCAGACAACGAAATGTTCCTCCACCTTTGTCCAGACTTTGCAGCAAACATGAACGGCAATCTAAAATCACTTCGAAAAATTTTTTTAAAATCAGTTTCTTGCGCAAAAATCTGGAAATATATCAACAGTAAATATAATTAAAAAAGAAAAGTAAAAAAGTACAAACGGATTTTCCATAAACGAGAATGAACGAAATTCATAAAAAACAATGATTCTGGCTACAACAACTTTCTGCAGTGCAGAAACGAAATGTCGATGGCGAAAGAA